GCACCCTGTAGTGTGACAGCGCACCCTGCAGAGGGGAAGCACATCTACGATTAAAGGTGGAAATACGATGAAGGCAGCCAGATTGTGACAAACAGTCACTAGAGATTCAGTCAGGTTCACTAACTCATTCTAAGTGTGCTGACAGCCGGGGTTCGTATGAAGGCCTCACAGCAAAGCCTGTGCTTAAACTCCCGGAATTCCCCCTGGGCCCCTCGCTCCCAGAATCTGTTCCCTGCAGAATTAGCTAGCATTCACTGTCTGTGTTTTTGCTGAATAGCTATAGATGTTCCTGAGCCAGTGTGAGAGTGTGCGTGTTTGTGTTTCTCTGCACATGTGATACCAGACACAGCTGGGTTCTCCCCTCACTTTCTACAAGGGGAGTGCTGGTGAAACATGCCAGCTGGCAGCCTTAGCATCTAAGCCTTCTATGCAAAGGCTCCTCCATGCTGCCCCACCAGCCTGCCCCAATCCTGAACTAGAGCCCCACATCCAATGAGATGAGAGAACTGTGACCCATTAACTCCTGTCTCTCCTGAGACCGATGACGGGGGTCAACTAGTACCAATGGTCATGGTCCATTCTGAGATGTGGGCACCTGTTCTATCCCCAGTTCTCCAGACAGATGTTAGTGACAGGAGGGCATGAAGCTCTGTTGCAAATTATATCCAACTCCAAGGATGACAGCTTTGCAAACTGTATCTATACGCTCCTTTAAAATCCTCTGTGTAACAAAATCGGGTCCCAGCATTGGCCCACAGGGCAGATCTTAGAAAGAGCAAATAATTAAAAAGCTAATTAGTGGATAGTTTTGTGAATAACAATGAGGAGCCAAGTGGCACCATTATTCGTTATTCCTGAGCATTTAGATAACCCCAGGGATTACGTAAACGCTTGTGAATGCTGGAACTGTCACAGATTTTCGCACACATCGTTCGTAGGGAAATCTGCACCAGAAAGTGCACTGTTCGGTGTTCTCCTGTTGAAAATGTTTTGTTCATCCAAAAGGGAGCAGAAACAAACCAAGTGTCTGAGGTGAGCAACCACACAACACAAACAGCAAGCACCCATTGGGCTGGAAATTATCTGCCCAAACTATTCGGCAAATCTTGCAGAATGGCAAACCTGCCCGAGGCTCAGCCTCAGAACACAAAGGCTGTGCTGCGTTTGTTCTGACCACTTTCCAGAGTGACTGACCAGCCCTAGCGGCTGATGTTCCCGCTCACCATTAGACCTGGAACCACTCTCGCTGCCCAGGGGCTTTGAGGCAGCAGCAGATCACATTCCCACACTGTGTGGAAGGCCTCACGCTGCCAGACAATGGGCTCCCCTCCCCATCTTGGCCACATGCAGCAGTGTCCTCTCGTTCCCATGCCATCCCAGCCCAGCAATGCCAGGCCTGGCTGCCAGGTTGTGTAACCCCCGCCATGCACATCACACAACACACCCTCCCGGGCAGCTGCTCTCCCCCACAGAAGCCCCTCACCTTATGCAGTCCTTCCAGTCCCTAGGAGCAACCCCCTGCTTAGCTGCACCTGTGCAAGGCACACACCCGACTGACACCTGCTATAGCCAGCCAGCGTCTGGGCTATTGGCACTCAACAGTGGCATCTGCTGAGCCAATGCATTGTTACACAGATGCCTGATGCCTGCATAGCCCAGAGCACAGAACCCTTCGCTGCCCGGGGCAGCCCTTCAGAGGAGACTCCCCGCTGTTGTCAGGGTGACTCAGAGCCTGCCCACCTCTCTCTAACCTAGGGCAGGAAACAGGCTGCCAATGTAGGGTTTCCAGCGTGTAACAAGCCCTGAAAGCTGGCGAGTTGTGTGCGCCTTTGAGCTTGGGCAGAAAAGATTCATCCCGCTCTCGTTCCCAGAGCCTTGGCAGGGGCCCTGTGCTGTTCGTGCCCCCCATTGTGGGGGATCCAGGGCAGAGATGGTAAGTGCAGGGTAATGGTTTCCCTTCCTCAGTCAGAGAGGTGAATTCAGCGAAGCCCAGAAGGTGCCCAGACCCCAGGGTACATCTTCCAGGTGCCCAGGCCAGCGAGCACACGTGGCAGTGTTGGCGAAGCAGGGCACTCGCTCTGTGACAGGGCAGTTTGCTTGTGCTGGAGAGGTTGGGGCCAAGCCAACCCGGATTACGGAATGAGCCCACCGGGCCATTGCCCACAAAGAGCAGAAGGTGGCTGCCGTCAGGGAAGAAGCTCAGGAGACTGCAGTGAGGGAGGGAGGTTCCGGCAGGGAAGACCCTGAGCCCAGGGGAGTTGCTCCGGCTACGAAGGGCTGGGAGTAGTCTGCTAAGGCAGGAAGGACGCTGACCAGACCAGGGGAGCTTGGGCTGTACCAGGCTGGAGGGAAGATTTCTGTGTTCAGCTCTGAACTTTCATTTCATGTGTCAGACCCTAAAGAGGGCTGTCATGATGGGACTGGAAAAACCCTGTGTGGTGTTTATTTGCGGTGCCAAGAAGGGAAACTCAGGTGAGGGGCTGTGTGCAGGGCTGCTCAGAGGCCAGCAGGGGGCGCTGTGAGGTGACAACAGGGTATGCTGGAGGCCTGAACCATGGAGCTGACAGCAGCTGCCCAGATGCCCTGCTCCTTGCCAGGGTGGGTAAATGGGAAGAGTGCTGTCCAGGAGAGCTGAGAGGGCACAGGAACCCACCTGCCCAGTTCTCGTCTCTCAACGAGGGGAGACCCTGGAGAAGTGGGGCCAGACCAGGCAAGGGGCTACAAGCAGGAGAGAAGTGCCATGCCAAGGGATCTCTTACCTCTTCGTCTGGTGACACGGGAGTTTGGCAGAGGAACCACATGCAGGGAGGAGTGCGAGGATTTGGAAGCAGGTGGAGAACAAAGCAGGAGGGAAGGAGAGAGACGAATACAGGTTACTGCACCACTCAGCGACATGCACTCCAAAAACACCCAGGCAGCTGCTGACGGATCAAACAGACAGCCAAGGGAAAGCTGTGGGGAAGATGCTATCTGCTGTCACCCCGCATCCTACCCAGCAGGGCAGCCATCCTCCCTTGTCTGAAAGCTCAGCAGACTGGGGGTGTAATGCTGGGTTTAGACACCAGCCAAAATTCACCTGCTGGCTTTTGTAGTAGAAATTTCACCTTCAGAAGCACCTGATCACACCCTCCATCCCTTGGCTGCAGATGCCTCATAGATGGAGAAAGATGCCCCAGGGAAGAACCCCAAAAAGATCACAGGCCACAAAAGCTTAAAATCCATCTTTAATGCAGTCTGTGATTCAGGGTTTAGCCATGCATAAGCAAAACATTGTGTTTGTGTAAAGAGTCCTATGGCACCTTATAGACTAACAGACGTATTGGAGCATGAGCTTTCGTGGGCGAATACCCACTTTGTCAGATGCAGGTTCTACAAAAATAGCAACTTGGGATTCTGGTTGCAATTTCTTGGTGAGACGATAACGTGTGGAGCAAGGGAGCCTTAGAGAAAGGGAAATCAACAACCAGGGAGGGAGAGATCTCTGAGCTCTAACCATTAAAACAGAGCAACCCCTGAATCTAAGATTCTATACGAAATGAGGTGAGACACCAACCTCTCAGCCACCACAGGATGTCAGTGTACATTTCATCGGTGAGATCTGCAATGGAGAGAGAGAGAGAGGGTGAACTGAATCCTGGCTGTGGTGCCATGGAAAACCCTGCGCTAATGTAAGCGGGGGAATGGTCCTGCTATTGTGGGGAACTTTCCTGGCTTCTGCACTACCCCGGTGAAGTGGGCTAGCGAAAGGATCCGAGTCCTCGCTCCCACTTCCTTTACCCAGAGGCCTCCCTGCCCTTGAGGTCTCCCCTTCCACTCTCCTGTCTGGCAGAGTCCTCGTAACCCCAACAAGGCTGGGCCCAGGATTCCTGGGGGGCTCGACCCCCAACCCTGCTGTGGTCACCCAGGACAGGGGCTAGGGTGTCCCCACTCCGGGGTACTCTCTCTGCACTGGGCACCTTCCTGACCCACTGATCATTTCATACAATTTAAAACAAATACAAGTTGTTTAATTAACAATTAATTTAAAAAAGAATAAGGAAAAATGGGAAAAGTTAAAGGAAACATCACCCTGCTCTGTGGCAGGGAACATCACAAACAGTCTCTCTGGAACGTCAGGGCAGGTCACAGGCTGTTCCTTGTAGGTCCCAGGCTCCTTCTCAGGCCCTGGCTGTGCTGCAGAGACGCTGCGGGTTGAACACTTGCTCGGGCGATGGCCACACGCTCTCAGGCTCTAGGTGGCAGGACCCTTTTTCCCAGCATCGCCCCCGGCCTGTCGGGGTTACGATCCCCCTCCAAGTCTGGCCTGCAGAGCCTCTTGGCTGAGGCGTCTCCCTGTGCTGGGCCCACTGCCCAGGGTCTCCCTCACTCTCCCTAGCTGCTCACTGCACCCGGCCCCGGACTGCTCCAGCCCCAGCTCCAGCTCCGGCTCCAGCTCCACTCGGCCTCAGCCCGGCTGCTGCTGCTAGGCTGACCAGACAGCAAGTGTGAAAAATCGGGACAGGGGGTGGGGGGTAATAGGAGCCTATATAAGAAAAAGACTCCAAAATCGGGACTGTCTCTATAAAATCGGGACATCTGGTCACCCTAATTCCAGTTCACATGGTGGTCGGGACCCCCCTGGCCTCCTGACTCCCTGATTAGCCTGCCTGCCCTGTCAGGCTGATCTGGAGCATTGGCCTCTCCCCATTGTTCCTGGGGACTGTCAGTCTCAGGCTCCTGATTTCCCATGGACCCTTCCCCTTTTAGTGCTGGGAGCTAGCCAACCAAAACCCCCCCACTGAATGTTAGTAAGGGGGCAACAGTCCCCTTCACTGAACTCTTGTTAGTGTCTGTCCCAGAGCTCAGTGCAGGGCAACCACAAGCACACACAATCCCTGCTCCACAATCCCTCTCTTTCCTGCCCAGATTAACTGTGCTGCAGTGAGTGGCCAGGCTAAAGAATTGGTAAGGGCCCCAAAATCTCCCGCTCCTGGGTCCACTGGCTGCTAGACGATTTATCCCAAACTCGGCAAAGTTCCTGCCCTTCCCTTATACTACACTGGCTTCTGTCTGGGGGGCCATCTCAGCAGCAGGTAACAACACATCCTCTTGTTATGTGAAGGGTCGGCAAGCTATAAAGAAGCTGCCCCGAGCTGACCTCAGACAGATAGGCTGGCGTCAGGGCTTTTGGAGCAGCTGCCATGTCACCTTCAGTAAGGGTAGTCTGGTGGTTGAACCACACCATATAGACGGATCCGATGGAGTTTAAAGAACATGAATGCCTTTCTGTAGATGCATTGAACCATCCTATACTCATGAACAGACTTGACAGCTGGAGAATTCTGCAGGCTGGTTCCAAAATCTATGGCAATGATCACATTTTCTATTCAATGTAACAGATATTTAGAGTAATTTCTGTAAAGACCTGTCAAATATCTACCGCACCCTAACACTTTCTTCCCTGCTGACTGCGATAGGACTTTTCTGTAAGGGCGGTGGCTGGCTATGACTCACCCCCGTCCTGCTGATAAAAGATTCTAGATAAATGGAAGGTATTGTTACCTGCAGATCTCAAAGTGTTTTAAACACATTCATGAATTACACCTCGGAACAACCCCCATGGCACAGAGAGTTTAAGCAAGTTAGGAGGAGAAGCTATGTCTCCTGACTCCAGTCTCCTCTCCTCATCCTCTGCTCACCACTGAAATGTGCTCCAGGATCTCAGCTTTGAAGCACATACACTTCGTAGCCACATGTGGCTGTGTGCACCTTCCTGGCGCCTGCCCATGTTGCTTCTAGCTCTCACAACCATGAAGAGAACCTCAAAAATGTGAATCAGGAACTGGTGCAGTAGTCACTGCCTCAGTACTGAGCTGAAGGAAAATCTCCGTTCTCTGTCAGCACTATGGAGCCTGTGATACACCAGAGCAATTCTGAGTCTTTCAGTGGAGGGCAGAGGTGCATGCATACACACACACACATGCACACACGACAGCTCACTACTATATATTTTGAAGCACTGATAGAAACAGCCCCAGTAAAACAGCTAAGTAGGGTGGTAAAGTCTTTGGCAAACAGATGCTAAGAGAACACGGATAAAATCCAAATCTGACAAATCAATGAATGGTGACTAGGAGATTAAGAATCAGTTTCCCCAAGCTTTATAAATCCAGGCTACTCCTGGTCTACTGGCTGTCACTGGAGTCTTCAACAACAACAGGGATCACTGTTATTCCCTGACTGCAAACACCCTCTCATTCCTGCTCCCAGAGACTGCCTTGGCAAGCCAACAGTTCCCAGACTAGGTAAGCACGGATTGGCCACGGTCTTTATTAGCAAACCTTCGTTTTAGTTTTCAAACACCAGCTGGTCTAGTGGTGGGGATCTGCCATTCACACAGACCGAGAGATGTCAGCGTTGAGCAGAGCAGAATGAATGACATCAGCAACTCAGCCTCCTGATCTGGTGGTTCTCCTCCAGTGTTCACAGGTTGTTTGAATGACACACAGTGAAAGATGCTGCAGACTCTCTCATTACCCAACAGCTCTGTGATACTGTACAGAGTAGGCAGGGCACTGCCAGGGTTGACGCTCTGAGCACAGTGCCATGTACAGAGGAGGAAGTGATGAACGGTGGGAATGCTGGCACGGGCCAAAAGAACGGCTTTTTGGTTCTGTGAACAGCTACATAGCTGGGACTCAGGGACTACTTACCTAGGAACCAGTGCAAGCTGAAATGGGTGACACCGTAGTGGCAAGCACTTCTTACTGCACAGTCATAAATAGTGCTGGTCAGAAACAGAATATCCATCCCGTTGAAGAGTCCAGAACTATCTGGGGAAAACTGATTCTGAATCAGAACCAAAGCCCAAATACTGAAATTTCCCAGGGAACAAAATTCAAAAAATTGTTGATTTGGAATCAAACCATTTGTTTCAGTAACATCTACTTGTGTTTCAACTTTTATATTGTGTTGAAATAATAAATATAACATATGCATTGTGTTATTAAACAAAAATACAATACACCGTTAACATTAATATTCTAATATAATATAAAAGTTGAATTGAAACTATAAAGTTAAAATGAAACATTTTGACATTATCTAAACAAAATGATTTAGTTGAAATCAACACGTTCCCATCAAACATTTAAATTTCAACAAAACTGCATTTTCAGACAGAAAACTGGTCATTTTTTTAAAATTAGCTTTAGCCATGGATGGACAGACTCTCGGGGCCAAGATGTAGGCAGCTGGGACTAGTGGTTGGAGATGGAGCCAGAGTTGGGAGTGGAGCCAATGGTCAGAGTCAGAGTCGAGCCAATGGTTGGGGCTGGAACTGGAATCGGGGGTCGAGCCAAGGGTCAGAGCCAGAGTTGGCGACCAGGGTGAGGATCAGGAACAAGATAGGAAAGCAGGAATAAGTCAGGAAGCAGGTTCAGGAGTTAGGCAAGAAGGCAGGGTGCAAGGTAGCAGCCAGGTAGAACCCAGTTGTGCAGACAATTTCCTGTGCCTCTCTTTGGGTGTAAATAGGAAGCCCTGACCAATCAGAGGTCACAGTGCTCCTGCAACCAGGCCCAGGGAAGCCCTCCCTGATGTAACATTAGGCTCCATGGTCTCTCCTGCTCAGTCGGTTAGGAACAAGCTGCTGGGTGAAAGCAGGGAGGTGGCAGTTGATTGGGCTCCAGCAGATCCAGGGTCAAAACCTGCAGTGTCCTGATGTAGGCCTTCAACTGGTCACAACAAGAGGAGCTTAGGCACAGGCTGAGTAGGTGTCAGACTAATAGATGGATTTCCACTGTCATTTACCGACAGAACACGGACAGACCGATGTTCTCCAGCTACAGCAGAGTGTTTGGCTCCCAGCTCCCAAACGGTATCCCTGTTTCTGCTCCTCATCTGACAGGAACCTTTTGGTCTGGGATCTTTGTGGCAAGTTCAACACCTTCTTTGAAGGACCACTGACAACTGCTACACCTGGTGCAAAGGATTCTGGGGCACATCTGAGGGCTGATGGCACCCACTGAAGACAACTGAACAGACAAGGTGTCATGGAGTCACTGGGCGATGTGCTGGAACTGCTCCATATGAAGCCAGTCAGGACTCTTGGGGAGCCTCCTCTCTGTGAGCAGACTGTCTCCAGGGCAAGAAGCTTACACAGCTTCCACCTTCCTGGGTCTGACCTTGGAGCATTCAGCATCCCCTTCTCACACCGTGCGCTTCCCACAATGAGTCCGCACAGGCGGGGCTCCTGGGGAAGCCAGTGGGCCCTGCACCCTAACTCCACAGTCAGACGTGACTCTCAGCCAGTCAGTAAAACAGAAGGTTTATTAAATGACAGGAACACAGTCCAAAACAGAGCTTGTAGGTACAGGAAACAGGAGCCCTAAGTCAGGTCCATCTTGGGGGCAGGGAGGCCAGGCCCTGGGTCTGGGCCTCCCTCTCTTTCCCCAGTCAGCTCCAAACTGAAACTCTCCATCCCCTCCTCTGACCTTTGTCTCTTTCCCAGGCCAGGAGGTCACCTGATCTCTTTGTTCTCCAACACCTTCAGTTGGCACCTTTGCAGGGGAGGGGACCAGGCCATCAGTTGCCAGGAGACAGGGTGTCGGCCATTCTCTGTGCAGACAGCATCACACTGGCCCTCTAAAGCTCTGCAACAATCACACCCCCTTATCCCACCACCTAGATACTTAAGAAATGCATAGGGGAAACTGAGGCACCCACACAGTATTCAGAGAAAACATTATGAACTTTCCCACTTCGTCACATCTCTCCCCCCTTCGAGACCGAACTGAGTGAGGTCACTTTAGCCTGGGGAAGTTCGAACCAACCAATGTTCCCATGGATTCCCCAGCACCTCTCCCATTCCTTGGTGGGAGTTACACCAGGCCCTTCCAGTTTCACGCCCTCCCGTAGGTCGGGTGTGCTTGATGGTGCTTGCAGGCTGAATGTGGAAAGGTTTATGTGGCCCGTGCCCTTTTGCCACCCCAATACCCCTGGGGTTTAAACTGAGATTGGGTCTTTTCCCAGTGCTCCAGTTTGGAGGGCTGTGATTCGGGCTCTTTTGGTTAGGAGCCCCCATCTTGACCTTGGCCATCCTCTGACCAGGTGTCTCTGTCACCCGCAGCTCGGCATCAGCCCCTTTCATTTGATGCTGCCACGTCGGAGGAGAGTGGTCAGAATACACAGTAAAGCGCCGCCCAAATAGATACGGCTGCAGCTTTTTAAGGGTCTGCACCATGGCCAGGCATTTCTTCTCTAAAGCCACATAGTGCTGCTCCCGGGGCAGCAGCTTCTTGCTCAGGTACCCGATGGGGTGTCTCTCCCCCTTAGCATCAGCACCGCGCCCAGCCCTGCGTCTGAGGCGTCGGTGAACACTGTAAAGGGCTTGGCAAAGTCTGGGTTTACCAGATTTACCGGGCCCTGGATTAGAGCCTCCTTCAGTGCACAGAGAGCCCTCTGGCACTGCTCGGTCCAGACCACCTTGTCTGGCTTACCCCTCTCACATAGCTCAGGGATGGGGCAGCTAGGGGGCTAACGTGAGGTACAAACCTCCGGTAGCACCCCGTCATCCCGATAAAGGCCTGGACTTGTTTCTTGGTCTGGGGAACGGGCCAATCTCTGATCATTTCCACCTTGCACTTTTTGGCATTTACCATCAGTCCTGCCTCCTTGAGGCAGCCCAGCACCCTCTTCACCTGGGACACGTGTTCCTCCCAAGTCTGGCTAAAGACACAGATATCATCAATGTACGCCAGGGCCAAGTTCTCCATCCCCTTCAGTAACAGACCCACCCGGCGCTGGGAGGTGGCCGACGCCCCCTTGAGATCGAAAGGCACGACCAGGAACTCAAAGAGCCCCAAAGGGGTGGTGAAGGCAGATTTCAACCTGGCATCTGGGCCCACAGGCACCTGCCTGTCACCCTTGGTGAGATCCGTAGTAGAGAGGTAATGAGCCCCCACCCCAGCTTGTCTAGAATCTCACCAGGCCTAGGCATGGGGTAGGCATCAGACACGGTGATGGCATTACGCTTCTGATAGTCCCCACAGAACCAGATTGACACGTCTTCCTTGGGGACCAGCCCCATGGGTGAGGCCCATGGGCTGTTGAATGGCTAGATCACCTCTAAAGCCAGCATGTCCTTGACCTCTCTTTCCAGGTTCTGGGCTGTTTTCACAGTGACTTTGAACAAGGGACACCTGATGGGAGGAACGGCTCCCATCTCAGGGAAGAGATCCACCGGGGGTCTTCCCCCTTCTCCTCCCAATCATCCCTTACCAGGTCCAGGGGTCCCCTCACTCTCCTCCCATACAGCAGCTCGAAAGGGAAGACCCCTGGGGGTTCCTGGGGCACTTCCCTGTACCGCAAGTGGGGCAGGTACTTGTCCCAGTCCTGCGGATGCTGATCCATCAAAGTCCTCAGCATCATCCTCAGGGTCCCATAAAATCTCTCCACCAGCCCGTTGGACTGAGGGTGATATGCAGAGGCCCAGGTGGACCAGACCCCACATTTCTCCCACAAGCCCTGGAGCAGGGCTGACATGAAATTGGACCCCTGGTCTGTAAGGACCTCGCTGGGGACCCCCTCTCTGCTGAAGATGGTCTGCTATGGTGTCTGCCTCGGTGGAGGACAGAGCCACCGCCTCTGGGTACCGGGTGGCGAAATCCATCACCACCAGGATGTATTTCTTCCCCAACCGGGTCGCCTTGCTGAGGGACCCCACTATGTCCATAGCCACCTTCTGGAAAGGCTCCTCTATGATGGTCAGGGGTCTCAAGGGAGCTTCACTCTTATCCCAGGCCCTCCCCACCCTCTGGCCCGGGTCGCAGGACCTGCAGTTCTGCTGAACTGCATCACAGACTCTGGGCCAGTAAAAGTTCTGCAGCAGCTGCTGCCTGGGACACTGGATCCCCTGGTGTCCCAAGAGAGGGACATCGTGGGCCAGGTACAATAGCCTGCAGCGATACTTCTGGGGCACCACCAGCTGCCTCCTGATTCCCCCCAGTTCTACTTCCCCTTGGGGAGCCCATTCCCAGTACAGGAATCCCTTCTCCCACAGGACTCTGTCCCTGCAGCCTTCCCCACGGGGGTTTGCAGCGCTGTGGCCAGCAAGTTCCCTCAGCTTCTCCAAGGAGGGATTGTTCTGCAGCTCTGTCTGGAATTCAGCTGCTGGGGAAGGGAGTGGGACCTGCTCCCTCTCACTGGCTGGGCCTGGGGTCACAGTCCCGCTGAGCCCTGTCCCTGGTAGCCCCTTCCCTGCCGTGGAATCACTTCCCAGCAGCACGTCTGGACTAGGCAAACCTAGTTGGCAGCCGACCTGCCCTGCCTGTGTGTCCCCCCACTCAGCTGAGGTCTCAGCTCCCACCGTGCTCAGCGCTGCCCTGGCTGTCCCAGTGGGGGCAGGCAGCGAGCTCTCTGCTCTGGTCACAGCATCAGAGCCAGTGTGAGCCCTCTCCCCGGTGTGCAGGGGGGCGGGGAGCATCTCTCCCTCCCACTCAGCCCCAGGGGTCTGGTTACAGGTAGGCAGGTATCCTGATCCTAGCAGCTCCTCCCCCCTGCCAGCCAGGTCATTCGCATTTTCACTGACAATTTCAGTCTCAGCCAATTGTTTCCCTGGATTCAAATTCAAATCCTCGGCCATTAATCCTGTCCCAAAGAGACACAGTCATCCCCCAACAGGACCTCACAGCCGATATCCTGGAGAGCCCCAACTACCAGGGATCTGGGCCACAGGCAGGGCAAGGAGCTTCATCCCGGGGACCTTCACCCAGGTCTCCCAGCTCCTCAGCATCTGGTGAGGCTGTACCACCTGGGGCCTCACAACAGTTCTCTCTGTCCCAAGATCTCGCCACCCCAGGAATGTCTCCCCATTGACCACCACCTTCTGCTCCCACTGGGGGTCAGAGGGGCCTGAGCCCAGGAGAGTCCACGCAGACATACAGGTTGGGGCCAGGAGTTGAAGCCTGTCCACCACCCCACCCATCTGGCTCACGGCGTCTATGGCCTTGGGACCCAGCAAAGTAGCTAGATACCAGGGCTCTTCTGCAGGGTCCCCCTGGTTCAAATCGCCAGCCTGCTCGAAGGCAGTGCAGTGGGCATCCACCTTCCCTCCTCCCCCCCAGCCTTTACCAGGAGCAGCAATTTAGTATCGAGTTTCCCTGCAGAACTGGCAACCCGGGGTCTATCCCCACTCAACCCTGGGAAGTCCCCTATGCCTCTCTACTCCACCATCACCAGTTCATGCTGCTGCTGCTTCTCCTGCAGCTCTTTCTTGGGCTCTTGCTGTCTCTCAGAGTCCTCTTGTTCCTTCTCACTGTCCTCCAGCCCTCTCGGACTCAGCTCCAATCCCATCCATCTCCGATCCCCCCATCTGGTTGGGGACAGGAGTCTTGGGGATACCTGGCTACCACTCCAGCTGCTCCCAGATTCTCATGTAGCCCCATCTGGGTCAGGAATCTGCTCCTTAGAGCGGTCATCGTCCTGCAGCTGCATGATTAACTGTGTTTTGGTGAATTTTCCAATGCGTAACCCTCTCTTTTTGCACAGGATCACAATGTCTTTCTTCAGGAGATGGTGATAGGCCATCACTTCGCTGTTCCCAAGTTGTTGTGGACTCGCAGGCCTGTGTACTCTCAGCTCCCCATGGTTTCCAGGAAGAACCCCAAGTGTGCCAACCCTTCTCAAGGTCACCACCTCTCTCCCAGGGCCAAGCTGCAGGCTCCTCCGCCCCTGAGACTGCTCACCGCAGTCCCTAGGGGGACCCTGTTACTGCAACAGTCCTTCTCGCTGGTCATACACTCCCAGGGATTAAGCGTAGCTCCTTCGGCCTCTGAAACTGCCCCCTCTGAGCCCTCAGCATGCCTGGTCCTTGTTAATCCCCCTATGTTTTACTGCTCCCCAGTCACTTACTGCAAGAAGCACCATTCACGGGGTGCAGTACATCCCACCACTGCCACCAGTTGTCACAAAGTCACCGGTGCAATGCTCTGGAACTGCTCCATACGAAGCCAGTCAGGAAGCCTGGCTGGGGGAAGCCTCCTCTCTGTGAGCAGACTGTCTCCAGGGCAAGAAGCTTACACAGCTTCCACCTTCCTGGGTCTGACCTCGGAGCATTCAGCATCCCCTTCTCACACTGTGCGCTTCCCACAATGAGTCCGCACAGGTGGGGCTCCTGGGGAAGCCAGTGGGCCCTGCACCCTAACTCCACAGTCAGACGTGACTCTCAGCCAGCCAGTAAAACAGAAGGTTTATTAAATGACAGGAACACAGTCCAAAACAGAGCTTGTAGGTACAGGAAACAGGAGCCCTAAGTCAGGTCCATCTTGGGGGCAGGGAGGCCAGGCCCTGGGTCTGGGCCTCCCTCTCTTTCCCCAGTCAGCTCCAAACTGAAACTCTCCATCCCCTCCTCTGGCCTTTGTCTCTTACCCAGGCCAGGAGGTCACCTGATCTCTTTGTTCTCCAACACCTTCAGTTGGCACCTTTGCAGGGGAGGGGACCAGGCCATCAGTTGCCAGGAGACAGGGTGTCGGCCATTCTCTGTGCAGACAGCATCACACTGGCCCTCTAAGGCTCTGCAACAATCACACACCCTTATCCCACCACCTAGATACTTAAGAAATGCATAAGGGAAACTGAGGCACCCACACAGTATTCAGAGAAAACATTATGAACATGTCACACAAGGGGACAAAGTTTTAGAAGAAATGACACAGAATGGGGGCCACATAGTGAGAAGAAGGAAGCTTTAGGAGAGGTACCAAATTGCATCATTGCCTAGAGCATCAGACCAGCTCTGATTTGCAGAAATGTGCCATATCCAAGGAGAGCGATACCAAGCTGCAGATACTGGAACAGTTGTCACTGACCTGAGGTATGTAGCCCTCTGTGACCTCATAAGACAGGTGCCAGGAAGTAAAGATCCTGCACTAGAGCCAGTGAGTAGAAGATCGTCCAAGTTCAAATTCCCTGCCTGGATTTATTTTCGGTGTGGGAAATCCCTTGTTACACATTTCCTGGATATGGATCCAATATTTTGTAAAACTACAATTTTTGTTGACCAAGACCAACGAAGGGACTCCCCAAAATAAACAATGGATTCACTGGAGTTGTATAGCTGTAACTGATGGCAAAACTCAGCTAAATGTTGACCAATGAGGATGATGAGAACCCCCTACACACAGGTGTGGGGAGAGGGGAAATGACTTTGGCGGACAGAGGTATAACTAGGAGTGATGGGATAGAGCGGAGGGAAGGAAACGTTTGGCTGTGTAAGTGTGTAGGCATGCGTGGCCGTCCCTCACTGTCAATCTCCAACGGTGGCCACACCTCTCTGCTGTCACGCACCTAGAATGGCAGTTTGTACAAGGGGAAGTTGGCTCTTGAGCAGGGCCGGCTCCCGGCACCAGCTTGTCAAGCAGGTGCTTGGGGCGGCCGCTCCGGAGAGGGGCGGCACGTCCAGGTATTCGGCGGCAATTCGGCGGACGGTCCCTCACTCCGCCTGGGAGCGAAGGACCTCGCGCCGAATTGCTGCCACAGATCGCGATCGCGGCTTCTTTTTTTTGTTTGTTTTGGCTGCTTGGGGCGGCCAAAACCCTGGAGCCGGCCCTGCTCTTGAGGGCTCAAACCTTCAGGCAGGGCAGAGAAGGGAATAGTCTATGAGCCTGGGCCATCGGGCCCGGCGGGGCACCAAACAGCCTGAGGCAGTGGCCCTCAGGCAGGGCACAGCATTCAGTAGTCTAGCCCAGGCCCCAAGCAGGGCAGGGCACCAAAGCAGTCTAACATCCTAGCTCAGCAGACGGTAGACCAACACAGGTCTCCTGGCCTACGCTGGGGAGGCTGCCAACCTAGGGATGGGACGGGGGGGATAGCTCAGTGGTTTGAGCTTTGGCCTGCTAAACCCAGGGTTGTGAGCTCAATCCTTGAGGGGGCCACTTAGGGATCTGGGGCAAAAATCTGTCTGGGAATTGGTCCTGCTTTGAGCAGGGGGTGGGACTAGATGACCTCCAGAGGTCCCTTCCAACCCTGAGATTCTATGATTCTAACTCCACTGGATCCCAGCCCAGGGCCCTCGCAGTGGCAGAGAGTTCTGCCACTGGATCAGCGGGGATCTGCCCACAACACACTGACCTGTCTTCAGGCAGCAACACAGCCTTACTACTGTCAGCTGTCCCTGGGCTGCTTCCCTCCCCTCAGGGTGTACCTGATGTCACGGAGTGTGGGGGAGTCAAGGCCCTGCACCCCTCTTCCTGGGATTCACCGTGACTCCCAGCCAGCCAGTAAAACAGAAGGTTTATTAGATGACAGGAACACAGTCCCAAGCAGAGCGTGTAGGTACAACCAGAACCCCTCAATCAAGTCCTTCTGGGGGGTTCAGGGAGCTTAGACCCCAGCTTGGGGTTCCCTGCGTTGCACCACCCAGCCCAAACTGAAACTAAAAACTCCTCCAGTAGCTCTCTCCCCCTCCCCCCAGCTCCTCCTCTCCTTTGTTCAGTCTCCGGGGCAGAAGGTGTTATTTCTCCCAACCCCCCTCCTGGCTCAGGTAGCTTCCTTCAAGGGAAGTCCCCCATCCCCAGCGCAACCCCCCTGCAACATTCCCAAGTCAAATCTGCCCCACTCCCTGCTCCGTCACACCTGAGTCCCGGGGTCATCCTCTGTTTCCCCGGGATACATTGCAATCCCAGCAACTTCTCAGTGTCTGGTAGCTCAAATATGTCCATCTCCCTTGGTTACTATAGCCCAACTGAGCTACAGGGTCTACCTTTTATACTTCCTGTTCCTGTCCCGCCCCTCTGCTTCTGGTGTGGTGAGCGTGGCCTTACTGGTTCATAGAATATCAGGGTTGGAAGGGACCTCAGGAGGTCATCTAGTCCAACTAAATCATCCCAGCCAGGGCTTTGTCAAGCCTGACCTTAAAACCTCTAAGGAAGGAGATTCCACCACCTCCCTAGGTAACCCATTCCAGTGCTTCACCACCCTCCTAGTGAAATAGTTTTTCCTAATATCCAACCTAGACCTCCCCCACTGGAACTTGAAACCATTGCTCCTTGTTCTGTCATCTGCCACTACTGAGAACAGCCGAGCTCCATCCTTTCGAACCCCACTTCAGGTAGTTGAAAGCAGCTATCAAATCCCCCCTCACTCTTCTCTTCTGCAGACTAAATAAGCCCAGTTCCCTCAGCCTCTCCTTGTAAGTCATTTGCCCCCGCCCCCAATCGTTTTTGTTGCCCTCCACTGGACTCTCTCCAATTTGTCCACATCCTTTCTGTAGTGGGGGGCCCAAAACTGGATGCAATACTCCAGATGAGGCCTCACCAATGCTGAATAGAGGGGAATAATTACTTCCCTCGATCTGCTGGCAATGCTTCTACTAATGCAGCCCAATATGCCATTAGCCTTCTTGGCAACAAGGGCACACTGTTGACTCATATCCAGATTCTTGTCCACTGTAATCCCCAGGTCCTTTTCTGCAGCTGGTGTTAAGCCATGTAGCCCACTGAATTCAGCCCAGCTCCATTGACTTCAATACAATGACACAGATTTACACCAGGTGATGATGGTTCTCAAACTGTGGGGCGGGACCCCAAATGGGGTCGAGCCATCAGCAGATGGGGTCATTGCAATCCCTAATGTGTGGAGGATGCCATTGTGCTCCGCTCAGTGTGACCTTGTGTGCACAGTGCGTGCAAGGTCAAAAATGCATGGAGGATGCCATCCCTCATGCGGCCTGACAGTGCATGCACCATACGTGCGAGGTCACTCGGTGCGGAGGACATAAAATGCCATCCTCCGTGCTGTCTGGAGTCCCGGGAGGAAATAATTTATTAAAATGGGGTCCTGCTGGCAAAAAGTTTGGGAACCACTGCCCTAGATTTTGCAGAATGCAGCAAAGCACTGCATTGTCTGAGACCCCACATGAATTGTCTGCGATTCTGACTCTTATCACCCGTATGTGTGCTCTGGTAAGGTGCTGCACCCAGGACTGTCTACTTGGCATGGAACCAGAAGTTAATAGGAAGTTCCAAACCTGTCCCCCTTGCTTTCCTGAACACTCAGTGTCTCCTTTCCTTTGACTTCCCCTCCACATATTTCCATATACTGGTGGTTCCTCCCTGAGAGCCTCTGCACCAAAGTGACCCTTAGTGATAGCTCCCTCCATGGGAGTTCTGCTCCCCTGAGGTTTGGATGCATAGTCTCCCCCGATGCACTGGAGGGTCTGCAAAAGCCCTGCAGAACTTTCCAAGGACTGTGTATTCCTTCTGCTCCATCCCTCTGAAGCCTCTTTCAGGCTCATATTCGGGGTGGGGGGAGGTGTGGCTATAAGCAGCAATGGAGACCCTGCTCCCAGTATGAGGCCCCGGATTGAACATACCTAAGGTTGTTTCTTACAGCAAGCCAAGAGCTTCGCACTCAATCCCATCCAGCCTCAGCGTGAAGCAGTCACAGTGACAGCTGCTACTATAGAAGCAGGACTGGGTACAGCCCTGAAGTGGTCATAGCAGAGTGACAGGACACCAGTCCCAGCCTGCAATGTTCACTCTGAGAGGCCCCAGTAAATTCATGGTCCAAGATTGTTTATACATACCCACAAAGAAAGCACTAAACCTGGGAATTGTTCTTTCTCTGGCTGGCTTGATCATGTCTGCTGCTTCATAGCTGGGCCCAGCACACTCTGGCTCATCCTTATGCGATGGGACAGCAGTGAGTTGCTTGTCTGGTAACACTGGCATGGCCAAGTCTTTGCCTGAGATACCTGTGCCTTCACACACACAATCTGAGACCACGTCTGTCTCCATAGGCAAAGTTCCAGCAGAGAGTGGCTCAGCCGCTGACACTGACGACCCTGGCCACGCGGGAGCCTGGCTGTCTGGCTGGAGTAAGGACCACCATGTTGATTCAGGTCCAAACTTGGCTAAGGCCCTAGGAGGTAAATCCCTGGGGATTAATGTAGTCTGTGGCAGGGGCGAGCCCCTGTAGGTGGCTGCACTCGCAGCCTGGAGTGAGCCCCTGCAGGTTGAGTCAGTCTCTGAGTGGAGTGAGACCCCAAGGAAGGGTTCAGTCTGTGTTGATGCATCCTTTGGGACAGATAAATAACTGCTAGTGCATCTGGTCTGTGGGTGGAATGAGGTCCTGGGAGTCACTTTGGACTCTGGATGGAGTGAGCCCCTGCGAATCGATTCCATCTCGTGGTGCAGTGCGCACCTGTAGCTTGACTCACTCTCCGGATGGAGAGAGCCCCTGCGGGTCCCTTCGGTGTCGGGATAGGGAGAGCCCCTGCAGGTCCCTTCAGTGTCGGGATGGGGAGAGCCCCTGCAGGTCCCTTCGGTGTCGGGATGGGGAGAGCCCCTGCGGGTCACTTCAGTGTTGGGATGGGGAGAGCCCCTGCGGGTCACTTCGGTGTCGGGATGGGGAGAGCCCCTGCGGGTCCCTTCGGTGTCGGGATGGGGAGAGCCCCTGCGGGTCACTTCGGTCCTTGGCGGAAAGGAGACTGGATAGATGGGTTCAGTCTGGGTCGATTGGTCCTTTGGATTGAGGATGGTTCTGCGAGCACGTTTGGTCTGTGGCTGAGGAGTCTCGTTGCTGGCTGAAGCAGCCTCTGGCCGCGGTGAGCTCCTGGGGATTGATCCTGTCTGCAAGGAGTCGCTCTTTGGAAGGGCAGGAGGCCTGTGAACGTGTCTGCCATCCAGTGTCGATGTTCCATGGTTCCGTTCAGGCTCTGGCAGGTGGCTAGCTCTCTGGTGTGCTTCCACCCTCTGGGCACTGAGGCCCTGCTGCACAGTTACCAGCAAGTGGCTAGCTGTCACCGACAACTTCCCTGGCTGGACCGAACATTTGCCACTTCTCAGTTCCATTACTGTTTGGGGGGAGGCGCTTCGGGGGATCTCGCTCCCTCGCTGCAGTGAGGCGCTTTGAGGGAGATCATGCCCTTGCTGGGGGAAGACACTGCGCAAGAGCTCACTCTCTCGCTGAGGTGCGGCGGTTCGGGGGGGGGCACTCCCCCTTCGGAGCAGGGTGCCCTGGCAGAGCTCCTTCCCTCGCTGGGATGAAGCACTTAGGGGAGGCTCACTCTCTCGTCGGAGCAGGATGCCTTGGGAGAGTTCTCCTGCTCGCTGGGGCGAGGCGCCTCGGGGGATCTCGCTGCCCCGCTGGGGCGA